TGAAACTCATTCATATTTTTTACTGTTTTGTCAAGCAGCAAGCCAGTATTATACATCAGTTTCAACAGAGATTTTATTTATTTCACGCGTGAAGGTATACGATATGTTATGGATTTTTGCAACGATAAAATGACATTATGATTGTCGAACAGGTTAAAGTCATGAAGGAATAGATGGAAATTGTGATTCATTTAGGCAGTTGCTAAAGTTAGTATTGGAAAGTTTAAATGAATCGAATCATAAGCATTCACGTTTAGATTTCAGAAAAGTGAAATAGATGTCTTATGCACATTTATAAGTCGTATCAACTGTATATGACTAATTGATTTTATATGTAAAATTTAAGAGTTTTGAAAAACCAAATAGTATCGTGAAGATGTATACCTGACCTATCTTTGTCTTTCAATTGATATACTTGATTTTCTTTACGATTTTATGTCTGCCGTTATCCTAAAGATACCATCTTAAGGGATTCTTCCAAAAGCTTATAAAAATTTTATGAGATTTTCATAAGATATTTCTAACGCTTGCTCTGACTATCTGTTGACTATCTGTATCCACCAAGAGTTATCACCAATCAATTTCTTCGATTCTTCCAAGTGCATAAGGCTGAATCTGTCTTAAAAGAAGTAGATGAATAAACTTATCAACGATTACACGAAAAACTACTCTATCAGCTAACAAGTCAAGAAATTAAAGAAAAAAATTCTAAGAGAAAAAATCCTGTTCTATATCCACCAGTACTACAATGGCAACCATGGGACCACAGGATGATGTATGCACATTACACATATCAAAGTGAAGATTATTGTTACTGTATTTAAAGCTTGTATTTTCTTATCACATGCCCTTCGATGAATTTCTACACCTCGCTCATTTTTGCACACTCTGGCACAATTTGGACAAACGTTTGTGCTTACTGATGTAATCTGAGTGATGACAAAGGGAGTCTTAGCTTGAATTGATTGAGCTAGTTCGTCTGCTCACCGTTTCTTAGCTCGCTCTTTACATTCATACGCAATTTTCTGAATACTTTGGTGTACTGGTTTAACCTGTGTGTGTCCGTTGATACTCTGATGCCACTTATCTTTATTCATGGTTTCTCTTCGCCAGTTTTTATCCCAAATTTGGTGAAATCATTCATAATTTTACCATCCCACCGTTTTCTTACAACGGCATTTATTGGTCTTCGAAAATCGGGAAAATAATAAAACATATCTATTTCAAAAATCTCGGCTTTCCATCAGCGTCTTCCATTCTATTTACATGCTCGAACCATCTAAGCTGATTTCTTCTCATAATGTCTTCAAGAGCTGGTTGTCCGGTTAAATCCATTACTCTGTCATTCGACATTCTATCTCCCAATGTCACATCAATTAATGTTCTCAGACAGGTCATATAAAAAGTCTTTAGCCGGTTCTCCTGAGCCACAGTAAGAGACCAAACTTCACTTCCGTATAGCAGAACAGGTAGCCCATGCACGAAATATACGCAATTTCGCTTCAGTTGATATACTTTCCCGGTGCCAAATTGCATTTCGAAGCATGTTGAAAGCCATAGATGCTTTTATAACCCTAGTTTCTATAACGAAAAAGACCTTTATGTTTTCCAAAAACAACTATGAAAAATTCACAAAAAGAGCTTCATCTTTTCAATAACTTACTCCGAGGCAACACATTCCACTTACAGAATTTCCATCATCTTCATATTTCAGCATTTCAACATACGGCCAGCCTGACTTGTCATATACTGTTGATTACTCCGTATCTACAATCTCAATCACCCTCACGTTGCTGGATATATTTCACTATGTCTATTAAAATTATGAAAATATTATTAATTTCATTCTCCTTCTACGAGAAAAGTTTTACGACTTTCGTGCTCTAAAATTGAACTTCAGTAATGTTCCTAAGTCATTAGCCACTGAAACATAACAAAAACATGAGTTACCTCATCACTAATTAGTCTACCGAGATAAGAAGGAAAACTAAATCTGGCTTGAGTAGTTGTCCAGTAGACACTACCTCGAATATAGGCATGGAACAAATCAAACCTCTTGACTGTGAGAGTTTTGGCCTTCGAAACTCTTAATTACAAAAAGTTTTTATTTAACTTGTTGATGTGTTGATCAACAGTTCAGTTCGCAGAACACCTCACTACTTTTAGTTTTTCTTCTTTCTAAGCTTATGAAAATTAGTCAATCAAAAAACTAATTTATTTTATAAACTTCCAGGGACAAAATAACAGAAGGGATTAACACTCATTTTCTTTCTATATTTTTTCAAAACAGTCATTTTTCACCGTATATCAAAGAGAAGAAAACCTTTAACAAAACAACACTATTCTTCTATCATGGGTACTTCTATGTTTCTCTTCTTTTTAATTTGCTCCGTCATCATCACTGTCAAAACAGCGGCAGCATTGTTTGATTGTCCACAGTCAAATGGGCTATTTGAAAATGTTCATGATCCTCACACATACTATCACTGTGCAAATAATATTCCGTACACACAACATTGTCCTCAAGGTTTAATTTTCTGTCAACAACTAAATCAATGTGACCACCGTAAGTCAGAGAAACTGTTGACAGCATTCTCTCTTTCGAAAGACCATGACATTTTTTCTAGTCCATTAGAAATCATTCATTAAAACTAGGAGCTTGAGCAGACTGTGCCATTTAGCAGTGGATCAGACACGGACGAGCTTCTAAAAAAGTGATATTTCTAACTTTGTCCTGTTTGCCTTCAACCCTTCAATGAATCGAAAATTCCATTGAAAAGTCGTTTTTCGCATTATGAAACGCCGTATCTCTAGTATAATCGAACCTCGTCACTTAATGTTTTCGTTTTTTTAAGAAAAGCACTTTTCTGTCTGTGCATCTTTTCCTTTTGATGTACTGGACAGTACATGCGCTATAATTACGAGTAGCATAGTGCATCTTTCGCCGTAAATAAAAATGTGGTAACAAGTGTGCACTCGCTCCCTTCAGTGTAAAGTTTGAAATGCTTTAAGAGTGGAGTTCGACTGCATCAAGAAATAAGTGTATGGCTAAAGTTAACAAACTTTTTAAAATTTTTGGAATATATTAAAAAAGTGAGCCTACAAAAAGAACTTGAGCAAATTTGAACGATAAATGACCTAGTTATGACCCTTCGATCATTGGATTACAACCCTGATCATTTTACGTCCAAACTTTTCAAGCCACGTCTCCTTAGAAAGAGAGTACCTAGAATTCTATCGAAATAATATCTTTCGATTTTTTATGACGTGAAACCAATTTTTTAGAAGACGATCACCTGAAAAATGACATTTTAAAAAGGCGCTTTTCCCAGATACGTACGCGAGAAATGTTATTTTCGAAAGACTTGTTTTCCACAGTTTCTACTTTTTAAAAACGCTTTTTTGAATAAAGAAAAAAGGGTTTTACACGTTTTTTGACGAACTTTTGAAGACCTGCGTTTTTTGCGAGTAGAAAAGTCAGAATAAGTCAGAGAACGATAAACATTTTCAATGGGTGGTGAAAGCCTCTCCTAATTTGTGAAAGGTGCTACTGAAGCTAAGTTTCTTGGTAAGAAATGGATGTGTATGTATTGCTTTTCGTTTTCTGCTTAGCTCACAGCTGCCCAGTCAGTCCCTCACCCTCAACAATAACTACTACCACCACTACCTTACCAGATGCGTGCGTTCCCTTCCATTCGCTCCCACAACACTTGACTTGTACAAAACCCAGATGGGGTCGCATGGGAGTAACAGTTGCCGGAAATGGAACGAAGGGAGAATCAAATGTTCAGCTCAACCACCCATGGGGAATATTTATTGATACCAAAAATGACGATCTATACGTAACAGACAGTTACAATCATCGTGTACAAAAGTTTACATCTAGTTCAAATATCGGCACAAAAGTTGCCGGCGGACACGGTTATGGAAGTGATTCTACTCAACTGAGCTACCCGTATGATGTTTTCGTCGCTTCCAACGGCGATCTATTTATTACTGATTATCAGAATAAGCGAATACAGAAATGGTCTCCTAACACTGACCAAGGACTCACAGTTGTTAAATTCAATGA